ACAAAAAATTCACATGATAATATGAAATATCAGATAATGTACTACAGTAAAACCTCCGTAAGTGCACGCTCTTGGGACCGAACTTTAATAGCAGGCACTTAGAGAACAATAAGAAAAAGTACAATTATGGAGGTCATGTATATATTGGGGCCTGAATTTAAGTATGCATTTAGAAAGGGTGTGCGCTTATAGATGGTGCACTTATGGAGGTTTCACTGTATATTTTTTTACTCTTTTTTTAGGCAATCTAATTAATATAACTATATCTCCGGCTTTTATGTACAATTATCAATCAGTTAAATTATATAACTTTTTTTAAATCGACTCCGATCTCTTCAATTCTGGTGTATTTAATTCAATCTGAAAATTTATAAACTGGTTAATCTTTATTCCGGACATAAAAAAAATTTTCGAGCATGCCTTTAATCTAAAGGACCTCAAAAATTTTGGAGCAACAATTTTAATATAAGAATTTCTTGCTTAGTGCATGCCCTGCAGTAGGTAAGTTCTCTAAGAATTTTGTTTTATTATAAAATTACGTAGTAAGTTTCATTTAATAACAAATTATGAAAGCCTAGCTTAATATCGACATTTCCCTGGCTAAAAAAAAACTGATATATGGTTTATTCAAGTTAACAATTGTTGTTTATATAGCATCTTCGATATTGGTCCATATGTGGCACTTATTAAGATAAACTGAATAATTTATCCAAATTTCTCATATTTCAAACTAGATTTTTTTTAATCTACATTTTCTAAATTAGACCTATATGTATTAATTAGAGAAATGTTATTGATTCCATGTGAAACCAGCTTTAGCTACAGTTTAAAATCAAACTCAAGTTTTGGCTTAAATAATGCCATAAACCATAGTAAAATGGCTATTGGTTCTATCTCTAGCTGCAGCCGATAGTTCAAACTATGCTAAGTTATGGTTTTAAGCCAGCTATAGCTATAGTTTATGTATAGTTTTAGATATCTCTGGCCGCAATTTAAAACTCAAGTCACAATCCAGGTCATAATGTTAATGCTATTATAACTATTGAAACCATAATTTGGCTTCAGTAGCAGTTCTTTAAAGCCAAGCTAAAGAAATTCCTAATTAACTATTGTATTATCTTCATGGCGATCTCAGATCTATGGTGGTGATATGTACGTACTATCGCTATCGGTAAATGAACTTCTTTTTTAGGCCTGATTCAGAAATCCAATAGAAGTATCAAACCATTCCAGAATACTGTGCTATTCTTCTGTATAGAAATCTGTATCACAATGCTAGAAATATATAATTAACTTTTATTATGTTGAATTGTGAAAGCTAATTAAGCTTTAGTAAGGTTATTAATACACATCATAGGCGAAGTTAATCAATTTTCAAAATCATACATCATTTATTTATAAAAATTTAGCTAGAATATGTCAAAAAATAAAATAAAGTTTATCGAATACACGGCTGATCATTATAATCGTTATCAGAAAGTTAAAAATAAATATAAATCATCAATTTCTTTTTGTATTCATTCACGTTCAAATTCTCCTTACTTTCGTTCACCTTCAAGCTATCGCACCACAAACCCCATAATATACGAATCTAACAACAAAACCTCATTTGAATCATTCTTTAAGGATCCAGAAGAATCCTTCGACCATGATCCATCGGATCCATTTTTGATAAAAGAATCCAATCGTAGTTATTCTTCATATAATTGTAATTTCACATCAGATCCTCTTTTGATAGTTAATGATATCGATAATGGCTGTTTTGCTAACAGTCGTTTAGAAGATCATAATTCAGAAAATCGAGTTCAGCAAATAAAAACTGAATTATTACTTATTAAAAATTGAGTTCAGAAATTAGAATTTGAGATATTATCTATTAAGAGCTGCTCAAAAAATTTTTAATTTATGCAAATCGTTATTTGTATTAGAATTTTTCCTTTTGCTAAAACAGTGAAATAGAAAGGTAGATAGATATTAATCTTAGCCATAATGAATGGGGCCAAAAAAATGAAATCTCATTTATAAAATAGCTCGCATATCAATCCCTTTGGGTTGATCTTTAGTATAGGTGAGCATATATGATTATTATATAGTTATAATATATATTAATTAACCATTTTGAACTAATTTAAGTAATTTTATAAATTGGTCAAATTAGTTAAGTTTTAAATATTATAGCCCTATAATAATTTATATATACCTACCTATAAAGAAGATCCTAACTTTGTTTTTTATAATAAGCATTATAAAATTACTAATTAGTTTTGA